GGTAAAAAAAAGCAACCACGTGTTTTCGGTGGATGCCCCGGAATTCATACCACGTTGGAAAACGAATACTATTTGTGCACATCTACCGTAAGTGCATTTATTGTCGTCGTGTGATTTGCAAGTAATTTATTGCAGTTCTTACCATCTTGTGAATTGCTTCAGGCTAAGTGAAGTACCGGTGTGTCCATATTACGAAACGGGGCATTGTGATAAAGGCAATCTTTGTCCATTTGTACACGGTGATATCTGTGATCTTTGCAATGTGCCATGCTTACATCCGGCTAACGAGGGGCTTCGTGCGGAGCATCGGCGCGAATGTATCGCGGCTCATGAAGCCGCTATGGAAGAAGCGTTTGCCGAAGCGCGCTCTGCTGATAAAGTTTGCGGCATTTGTATGGAAAATATCAGGTAATTCGTGTTTCTTTACGCAGTGCCGGTTAGTATAAAATGCGAAATAGGCTGCCGTGTTCTTTTTTTCTCCATACTTTCTATTCCCTGTTATCATTGCAGCTGGAGGGCGAGGGAGGGGGTTGTGTGGAGCGAGTGTATTATTATTTTCTCCTCTTCCAGCAGAGGGTTTGTTCATTTTCAGGCCAAATTAAGCCACTAGAAGCTCTGGCCAAAGTGTTACTGCTGTTAATAAAAGCGCAGTATGATGTCTATGGCCTTTTAGCTCTTTCTGTGGCGAAAAAAAAGAAAATAGCAGAACCGTGATTAGGCTTGTTAATTTAGTTATATCCTTATTTGTGTGTGTTTTTTTTTCCAGCATTTCTGCTTACTGTTATGTTGTCTATGTATAAATTTGAGTGTTTTCTTCAGTCTGATAAAAATTGTTTCAGGGAGAAGAACGTACGTTTTGGTATTTTAGAAGGTTGCAAACACTGTTTTTGTTTGGATTGTATTCGGCAGTGGCGCTCCAATCAGAACCATCATTTTGAGAAGAAGACGGTCCGTAGTTGCCCGGAATGTCGCACTCATTCTGATTTTGTTATTCCCGGTATGCATTTTTTGCTTGTGAATTGGTTCTTTGCACAGCTGCTTTTTTTGTGCCTTTTAAGAATTTGCTGTGATTTTCAGTACCGCCGAAGTGCGTTTTTTCTGTACTTGGCCACAATTTCCCTTTGATTTTGAATAGTTATTTTTGTTGCAGCGAAATATTGGGTGGAGGATCCAGCGGATAAGAGCAAACTGATTGCCAAATTCCGTGAGAATACCAAACAGAAGTTGTGCAAATATGTGAAGGGTGGACGCATCGGTAATTGCCCATTTGGAAACAAGTGCTTCTACAAACACGTAACGCCGGATGGAACAGTGGTGGAAGGGGACAGCCCGCGCACTCTTCGAAGGTACCAAACCAGCGATGTTGATTTTGGAAAATATAAGTTTGTTTGCGAAAGAAAAAATGCCGTTTTAAAAAAGTCGCCGCTTAATATAAGTGCACATAAATCCCTTTGTGTACTATGGAATGGGACGGGAGCTATTCTTTTCGTCGTTTTTATCTTTGCGGGATTGTTTATGAAAGCGCTGTGCCCATCTTCTGGGATCTCACTGGATAACTGGCAGATCATTTCTGCCATATTTTAGTGCTTAGTGGTTCTAGAACAGATTGAGCAAGATCGATTGAAGGGTAAATAAGGTGGGAGGGGTTCGCATTTGCAGTGCTATAGGAATAAGTGCATGAAACTAACTTTCACCAGTATTAGAGAGCCAATGCTCGATAAACGGCTGCGTAGAAGCAAGCTACGCTCCGCATTAAAGTGCAGCATATCTGATCATGTTTTCGCTCTAAACCAGCTGAAAGGCGCAGAGGAGTATGAACACTCCCGCTCTTTGACTTCGTTTCGTCGATGACAAAAAAGTGCAGAGGGGGAACTGTAAATGCTTGGTCATTGAAGTGAATGATGTGATTTGCAGACGAAGACGCCCGCTGTTTGATATGTGGTCTTCGTCAGATTCCGAAGTCGAAGATGATTTTCAGTCGATCGCGCACCATATCATTGATCGAGCACTTACCCTCATCTAAAATAATATCTCGCCGAAGCTCACTGCAGAATTTCGATTTTGGTATATGCTGACATCCGAAAAGAAGTCGATTTTCCGGACTACTACTAGTCAAAATAATTTTGCTGACATTATCTTGTTAATGCCATCACCATCATTTGGTGTGTGTAAAGTTGGTTTGCATTGTGCGTCAAAAACAGTGATTTCGCGAATTGGACTACAGCTATTGCTGCTATTCACCACCAACTGGCATGGGTTGTAGACGTTGCGTCACCTGTAGTTGGATGGTGTATAGCTTTCTGAACTGATTTCCGGTAACTACTCTTTCAAATGCCAGTGCTTTTTTCTGCAACTTTCTTCGTCCTCTTCGCATTTCGCCACTGCGATACTGCTTTTCCCGATGGTGGGTGGAAAACCCGAAATTTTCAGCTGCCTAGAAAATTGAAACTACGAGTACTCGGAACGGCCTTGGTTAGTTTGCATTTTTAGCCCATGTTAGGTTGAAGATTTCCTTATATTTACTGGATTTTTTATAGTGGAGTTTTTATAGTAGCTAAAAACTAGCAGCCGATAATAATGTTCATATGTTGCCCTGTTGTGTGTGTGCGTGTATATGTGTGTGTATGTGTGTGTGTGTGTGTGTGTGTGTGTGTGTGTG